TTAGCGGCGCGCTGTATCCCAGGAGCTGAACAGACTGGGCTCCTTGTGTGTTGGAGGAGAAAGACCCTTGGTATGTCAGGCCGTCCTGACATCCTTCTGATGTTGGGTGGGTGGTCTCATCCCTCCGCGCCATGTGTGGGTCCCCCAACAGGAGAGCGGTGCCGCCTCCCCACAGATGTGAGGCTCAGCGAGGCCCCTGACACCTAAACCAGGAAACCTGTCAGCCTCATTTCTCAGTAGCCCCGAGTCCACCAAGGTGCTCGGCTTTGAGAAGGGAAATGGGGCTTGAGAGGACTTTGGAAACGATCTGCTCAAAGCAAAGCAAGACAGGAACCGCTTTTGCCTGTTTCTACAAGAGGTAAAGCTCTCAAGGAAGAATGCCATCCCACCAAGTCAGTAGAGCAGTACTTGGGGTGCTGCATCCCCTAAATGGGGAACCAGGGATTTATCTCAACTATACACGGTGCCGCAGACCAGCGAGCCAGTCAGGGAAGTCTGCGGGCAGGCACAACTTCCAGAAGATGAACCCTCAGAGGCTGTCTTAAATGTCATTCAGTTTAATGAAAGGAAGCTTCTGGAAGGGATGCCTCCTTGGAGAAGTGTCTTGTATTCCCCGGGGACTCAGTGCACCCCCCCCCCCCCCTGAACAGCTCCCCTCCCCCACGGCCACTCGGGCCTCCTGAACTTGAGACTGAGGTGAAGGATGCGCTCTGAGTGGAGCAGGAGGTGCTCGGCTCCCCAGGCTTTCTGCAGTGAGGGGAGTGTCCACGTGCCCAGCAGACGGTCAGTGGCCCCAAGCAAGAGATGGACACTGTGTTTATTGGCCGCAATTCCAAGTCCAAGGTCTTTTCATCCCAAATGACCAGTGTTTTAGGAGAGGACAAAGACCATTTCAAGGATTCACACTGGAGAGGCCGGTCTCTGGCGAGTGAGAGACTATGGCTTCCAGAACGTGTTCCGGTTAGAGGCCCTAAACATCCAACTCAGCTTCCCTCTGAGAAGCCTGTGGGCGGCTGCTGCCGGGGTACCTGCCACACACGGAGCCCCCAGGGCCCCCCGGCCTCCCACGGTTGTGCGGCCCTGCAGCCTCCGCCCCCACTGACCAGTGTAGCCTCCTGCAGAAAAGCTTTCCTTCCCTTTCCGCATCCTGCTGGGGCCGGGTGCCCTCCGGGGACGCCTGTCATGGTGCGTGATTCCCAAGAGTCCTCTAACATTTTCGGGAGGCTGGCCCTCTCTGGGGACAAATACCCTTCCCACCCCACTGGTTGGGCACAAATTTGGGAGATATTGTTTTAGACACTGAAATGGGGGGGAGGAGCTTTAGGAGCCAGTGTGGAGTGGCCCTGCTCTCTCCCCTCTGCTCTGGGGCCACAGTATTCCAGAGAGAGGCTTGCTTCTCCATCAGCCTGGAGGCTGCAGAGATGCCATCAGAGCCAACCTGGACGGACATACAGGGTGAGCAAGAAAGAACTCTTTATTGCCAGAAGTCAAGGAGATTGTGGGTTCACTTGTTATGCACCATAACTGAGCCTCTCCTGCCTGATACAGCATCATAGTATATGTGAGTGGCAGCCTCTGGAGTTGTGCACTGTACCACCTGCGTGGCCATCCATGGTCCATACCATATCCATGGTATCCCTGCACAGCCAGTCTGCCCCTGTGCACCTATCCCGCCATTTCAACGCCTGTGTTATTTGTCTCCATCCTATAAGATCGATCGATCGATCGATCGATCTATCATCTTTGTTTTAATTAACCATTTATTTTATTAAGACAATTTTTTAATGTTTATTTATTTTTGAGAGCGGGGAGGGGCAGAGAAAGTGGAAAACACAGAATCTGAAACAGGCTCCAGGCTCTGAGCTGTCAGCACAGAGCCCGATGCAGGGCTCAAACTCCTGAACCGCGAGATCATGACCTGAGTCGAGAGAATCTTAAGCAGGCTCCACTCCACGCTCAGTGTGGAGCCTGACATGGGCCTCCATCCCATGAACCACGAGATCATGACCTGAGCTGAAATCAAGAGTTGGACACTCAACCAACTGAGCCACCCAGTTGCCCCATCTCTTTATTAAATTGTACTAAAATATACAAAACATAAATTTATCCTTTGTATAATAGCATAAAATAGAATAAAATACTTAGGAATTAACTTTACTAAGGAAATAAAAGATTTGTACAATGAAACTATAAAACATTATTAAAAACAAGAAATTTTAAAACACATAAGTTGAAATATCCCACATTCATGGATTGGAGAATAATATTGTTAAAATGTCAATATTATCCAAAGTGATCTACAGATTCAGTGCAATTCCTATAAAAGTCTTTTTTTTTTTTTTACATTTAATCATTTTTAGGAGAGAAATGGAGTGTGAGTGGGGGAGGGGCAGAGAGAGAGGGCGATACAGAATCCAAAGCAGGCGCCAGGCTCTGAGCTGTCAGCACCAGAGCTTGATGGGGGGCTCAAACTCCTGAATTGTGAGATCATGACCTGAGTCAGATGTTTAACCAACCGAGCCACCCAGGTGCCCCTTGTTTTACCTTTGTTTTAGAGAGAGAGAGTATGTGTTGGGGGGAAGAAGGAGAGAGAGAGAAAGAGAGGGAATCTTAAGCAGGTTCCACTCCATGCTCAGTATGAAGTCTGACATGGGCCTCCATCCCATGAACCATGAGATCATGACCTGAGCTGAAATCAAGAGTTGGACACTCAACCGACTGAGCCACCCAGGTGCCCCTATCTCTTTATTAAATTATACTAAAATATACAAAATATAACATTTATCCTTTGTATAATAGCATCAAAAAGAATAAAATATAGGGGCACCTGCATGGCTCAGTCAGTTAAGCCTCCGACTTCGGCTCAGGTCATGATCTTGCAGTTCGTGGGTTCGAGCCCCTTGTCGGGCTCTGTGCTGACAGCTCAGAGCCTGGAACCTGCTTCAGATTCTGTGCCTCCCCCTATCTATGCCCCTCCCCTGCTCATGTTCATGTCTCTCTCTGTCTCAAAAAAAAAAAATACAAAGGAAATAACTTTACTATGGAAATGAAAGACTTGTACAATGAAGACTATAAAACGTAAAAAGGGGTGCCTGGGTGGTTCAGTCGGTTGAGCGTCTGATGATCTCACGGTTCGTGGGTTCGAGCCCTACCTCGGGCTCTGTGCTGACAGCTCAGAGCCTGGAGCCTGTCTTTGGATTCTATGTCTCCCTCTTTCTCTGACCCTCTCCTGCTCACACTCTCTTTCTCTCTCTCAAAAATAAAACATTTAAAAAAATAAAAACATTATAAAAAAGAAAATTTAAAACACATAAATAAGTTGAAATATCCCATATTCATGGGTTGAAGAATAATATTGTTAAAATGTCAATATTATCCAAAGTGATCTACAGGTTCAGTGCAATTCCTATGAAAATCTTAACGATGTTTTTTGCAGAAGTAGAAAAATCCATCCTAAAATTCATATGGAATCTCATAGCCCCAAAACAAGCTTGAAAAAGAAGAACAAGGGGCACCTGAGTGGCTCAGTTGGTTAAGCGTCAAACTTCAGCTCAGGTCATGATCTCACAGTGTGTGAGTTCGAGCCCCGCGTTGGGCTCTGTGTGGAAGCTCAGAACCTGGAGCCTGCTTCTCTCTGCCCCTCCCGTGCCTGCCCTGTCTCTCACTCTCTCAAAAATGAACACAAATTAAATTTTTAAAAAAATCCTACAGTAATCAAAGCAGTAAAGATAGACCTATAGACCATGGGAATAGAATAAGAGCCGAGAAATAAATCCTCACATGTATGTATGCTCAAGTGACTTTCAACAAGTGGGCCAAGACCATTGAGTGGTGTGAGGATAGTGTTTTTACCAAATGGTGCTGGGAACCTGGGCATCCACGCGTGAAAGGATGAAGCTGGGCCCTTCCCTCACACCACACGCAAACATTTACTCAATATTGATCAAGGACCAAAATATAAGGCCTAACAAAACATGGAAAGAGGGGCGCCTGGTGGCTCAGTCGGTTAAGCGTCTGACTTTCGCTTAGGTCATGATCTCGCGCGGTTTGTGGGTTCGAGCCCCGCGTCCGGCTCTGTGCTGACTGCCAGCTCGGAGCCTGGAGCCTGTTTCAGAGTCTGTGACTCCCTCTCTCTCTGACCCTCCCCTGCTCACTCTCTCTCTCTCCTAGAAATAAGTAAAACATTAAGAAAAAATTAAAAAAAAAAACATGGAAAGAAAGGTTCACGGCATTGGACTTGGCTGTGATTTCCTGGATATGACACTAAAGTCAGAAGTAACAAAAGAAAAAAATAGACAAAAAGGACTTCACGAAAATTTTTTTAAAAATTTAGAATATTTTTATTTTTGAGAGACAGACAGAGGAGGGTCAGAGAGAGAGGGAGACACAGAATCTGAAGCAGCTCCAGGCTCCGAGGTGTCAGCACAGAGCCCGACGCGGGGCTCGAACCCACGAACCGTGAGATCATGACCTGAGCCGAAGTCAGACGCTTAACCCACTGAGCCCCCCAGGCGCCCCTCTTGAAAATGTTTAAATTGGGCGCATCCAGTGACGCTGTCTATGGATCGATGACTCCAGGGACGTCGCGTCAGCGGAATCTGAGGGCGCTGGTCTTCCGTGTCTGCCTGTCGCCGAGCACCATGTCCCCAGGCTGGCCCACGACGCAGCAGCGGCCGCGGACGGACACGGGGCTTCGGGACCCCTGCTGCCGCGAGCCTGGGCGCGGAGACGCCTCCCCGCGTCCCGCCGTCCGTGCATCCGGGTTTCTACCGACGCGTGGCGTACGGTCACGTGGCCGCCGCGACCTGCGCACGAGCCGCTCGGTGCGCAGCGTCCCGCGGCCAGAGGCCCCCGTGGCGGCCGCAGCGCGGGCTCCCCGAGGGCCTCCCTGGGCCCCGTGCGGGGCCTGCCCGGCGCGGAGGTCCACCTGAGCCCGCGGCCCTGGTCCCTGCGTCCGGCGCGGCGAGACAGAGCGCCCAGGGGGCGCCGACGCTCGGGGTTCAGGGAGCAGGGCCCTGACGTGACCTCGGGCAGGACGGGGTGCTGCGGGAGCCTGGGGGCCTCAAGGGCACGGAGGGGAGTCCCCGGACCACAGACACCCGGCCGTGGCGCGCTCGCAGGACCTCAGCCCGAAGGGCGGAGGCCGGGCGGGGACAGAGGGCCCACGGCCCCGGCCGCCGGGCGGCTCTGCTTCCCCGACCCCCGGCGGGCTCCGCGCACCCAGGGACCTTCCCTCCCTCCCGAGCCAGCCGGAGCCTTGGCGCCGAGGGGCACGGCAGACGCCCCCCAGGTGGGTTCAGCTCCTGTGCTGGGATCAGAGCCTGCCTGGGGCGCCCGCCGTGGCTGTGCCCCTCGGACACCTCCCGGTGCGAGGCCGGCACGCTGCTCCGGTCGCCTGCCCTGGCCAGCAGCCGGGGCGGGGACGGCGGGGCCCCCCGGGCCCTCTCTGGGCTGTTCCAGGTGGCACAGCCAAGGCCACGAAGGATTGCCAGCGGGGACGGGACACAGCAGACCACCGGCTCTCCTTCGCCGAGCCCTCAGGGCGTGAGGCCGAGGCGGGACACAGGAGCGAGAACGCTCCACAGACACAGGTGTGATGACCGCAGAAAGGGATCGCAGCAAAGAAGCGCGGAGTGGGGTCCCCCACAGGGAGGCACCCCCCCCCCGGGCTGGCGGGACCCGCCGAGCGGAGGGAGAGCGTGTGGAGGGGTGCGGGGCCACCTGCTGAGCTGCGGCAGGAGGGCGAGAGGGGTGTCCACAGCCCGGCCCCCCGCACCCCCTCCGGAGGGCACCTTGGTCCACCCTCTCCCCCGCCTGACCCGCCCCTTGTGAGGGAGCACCTGCTCCCCGGAAGGAGGTCAGCTGTGACTTAGTTTCCCGGGGAGAGGCGTCCAGCACACAGATGCGGAGGCTGCCAGGTTTGGCAAATAAAGCTGGAGGGTGGCCGGTCCACCGTGGGGCCCGGACGCGGCACAAGTCGTGTCTCACGTCTTAGTGGACGCACATCGCTGCCTGCAGACCCGCTCTTTCTTCCCAGCGGTGTGGACCAGCGGCTTCTCGCAGGCTGCGGCCCTGTGGACAGGGCTCCTGGGGGGGCGGCGGGGGACAGCACCGCGTGGGGGTGGCACGCAGTCTCCAAAACTCACAGCGTCCCCTGTGGAGTCCGGGGACGGGCCTGGGCGGGCTGTGGACACAGCGCGGTCCGAGGAGCCTGCAGCTCCTGGTGAAAGCGGTTTCGGCGTGTGCCTTTCTGGGTGTCTCTACTTCAATAAAAAGTCTGGTGACGCCCTTCTTTTGGTCACAGCCCCAGGGCCCCTTGGAGATGAGAGGCTTTGAGAAGTGGGGGTTCTGGCGTCGCGCCCATCCCCTTCCATGACTCGTTTTCCCCAAAGCAGAGGCTGATGATGAGCTGTGATTGGGTGTGTGTGGGGGACACTAGAGAGAGCCCTGCGTTTCTGAGACCCTCACCCAGGGCCCCTGCTCCCGGGGAAGGGAGGGACTCAGCTGTCCCATGGGCGGGGGGCTCCTGAGGGCTGCGGGAGCCATCCCACACATTCTAGAAACCTCCGTAGTGGCGAGTGCCCCAGGCCCTCTGCCCGGTCCATCTGCCCTCCCCCTGGTGCCCACCCCCGTCCTTCGTGGCAACATAGCCGCCGGCGTCTCCTGCCGGGGGGGGGGGGGGGGGGGGGGGTGTAGAGCCCAAGGCTCGGATACTGGACGTTCCCCCAGGTCCGGGACAGGTGGCCCCAGGCTTTCCACTGCCCGTCCTGCTTCCGTATCGAGAGCAGGTCACTCACCGCGACCGCAACCCTGGGCCACCTTGGACTGGCCTTGCCAGAGCCCCTGTTCCGCCCTCACAAGGAAAGGACCCCGCAGCGTTAAAGGCTTGCACGGCCGGAATCACGAGGAAATGCTGCCCCTGGGAAATACGTGTATTTCCGTATTTAAAAAATAAATCGGGGCGCCGGGGGGGCTCAGTCGCTTGAGCGTCTGACTCTTGACTTTGGCTCAGGTCATAATCTCACGGTTGTGAGGTCGAGGCCCCAAGGCAGGCTCCACACTGGGTGTCTCTGCCCCTCCCCCTGCTTGCACGCGCGCTCTCTCTGTATTAAATAAACTTAAAAAAATAACGCATTCTGTCTGAGTGCAAAGGCAAAGCATTTGGAAAATATGGACACATATAAAGGAAGATGGTCACCGAGGAAAAGCTTGCGAGCTCCGAAGTCTGACGCTTAAGCGACTGAGCCCCCCGGGGGGCCCTATTTTCTTTTTAATCAACTTGTAATTTTGGAACAGTTTCAGATTTACAGAAAGGTTGCAAAGATAGTACAGACTTCTCATGCTCCTCACCCCCCGTTTGCCGCCGCCACCTCCTCCCGTCAGCGTGCTGCGTGTGTCACAAGTCACACTACGATGGGCTCGCTGCTGTCAACCAAAGTCCACACTCTCTCAGGGGCCCTTGGTTTTCCCGTCCCCACGTCTCCCCGGGCGCCTCTGGGCTGAGCCGTCTCTCGCGGCCCTGGTTTCAGGGGGCCCAGCAGTTCTGGGGGTGCTGGGGCCATCCCTCCGCCGGGGCGTGTCTGCGGTGGGGGACGGGCTTGGGGAGGAACCACAGAGGCAGAGCGCCCTTCCCGTCACGTCAGGGGCCGTGCTGTCAGTGCGACGCCGTCACCGTGGACGGGACCTTGACCGCCTGGCTGAGGTGTGATCATTCTCCCTTCCCGGACTCTTCTCTTTGGGAGGCCGTCACTAAGGGGGCCCATACTTCAGGGGTCGGGGGGGACCACCTTCTTGAGGGGGAGCCTCTACGTACATTATTTAGAATTCTGCAGGCGAGATTTGGGCATTCTCCTCCATTCATTTATTCAGTCGTGTACTTATATCAGTGGGTATCTCAGCACCATGGACACTGTGGACCATCATCCACGACCTTATTTATTTTGTTGTTTAAACTGCTCCGTCTTTGGCCACTGGGAGCTCTTTTGGTGGGGGCGCTCCTGTGTCCCTTTGGACGAGGCCAGTCGGGGTGGACTATTTGGGGCACCTCCTTCCCCAGCCCCACAGGATGCTCCGGGCTCGGCTGGTGCATTTCCGCTTCCCCATGGAGCCCGGCTCCTTTTCTTGGATAACGGTATTAAGAGACCAAAATTTGGGTGCTGGGTGTGCTCACTGCCACCGGGATGTCCTTGCTTATAGGCCCTCCTTGGTGACAGAGCAAGGAGATATATTGTGTGTGTGTTAATCACACACACACACACACACACACACACACTTCTATATGCGACCATCTGTGTTTATATTAAGCTAAACGAGTTCTTAGTGATGTTTCTGCCACTAACCCACACCACGTGGATCAGTCCACCCTGCCCCTTGCTGATGTGCCAGCCCCACCCCAACAGTGGGAGGCCCGGCTCCCAGCCCCCACTCCCCTCCACTCAGTCACTCAATCCCAGTGCTCGAGCTGTGGTTTCGGAACTGCTGACGAGCGCCCAGCGGGAAACAACTTTACCGACTACAGTGCAGGGCTTGTGACATTCCTTCTGCCCTGAGTCTTACGGACCCCACTCGTTTCCACGGTGACCTGAGTCAGCACCCTTTTCCCACCGCCTCAGGCAGGCGGCTTCAGGCACTGGTAATAGAGTGGGATTCTCTTGTGACAGTCTGCATTCCTTCCTGGGTCCCCTGACCTACTAGGTCATTTTTTAAAATTTGCATTCATAATGGCTCACTTTTTCTGCCATAAAATTGTATGGGTTCGGCCAAATGCATGATGTCATGTACCCCCCATCACAGGGCCATGAAGTCAGTTTCCTCACCTTACAAAATGCTCTGCGTTCCATCTTCTCAACCCCCGCCCCCACAGGCCCTTGGCAATGGTCAATCTATGTACTCTCGCCGTTGTTTTCCTTTTTTTTTATTTCATTAAAAAATGTTTAAAATGTTTTATTTATTTCTGAGAGAGAGAGAAAGCGTGAGCAGGGGAGGGTCAGAGAGAGAGGGAGTCACAGAATCCGAAGCAGCTCCAGGCTCTGAGCTGTCAGCACAGAGCCCGACGCGGGGCTCGAACCCACAAACCGTGAGGTCATGACCCGAGCTGAAGTTGGATGCTCAACCGACCGAGCCCCCAGGCGCCCCTGTTTTCCTTTTTCTAGAAGATCACATTCATGGACACAGCAGCACACAGCCTTTTCAGACTGCCCTCTTCTGCTTTAGCGACACGCACTTCTGGCTCCTCCACATGTCAGCACTGGCTCAGGCTATTCGCACCCCGAATAGCATCCAATGTATGGACACCCCACAGTTTGTTCACCCACTTGCCTCCCGCAGGACATTTTGTTCACTTCCAGGTGGCGGCAATCACTAATAAAGCGAATACAAACATTTCTATGGAGGGTTTTATGTGGACATAAGCTTTCAAATCAGGTGGGTAAAATATCTGGAGCATAATCACTGGACTGAATGGGAAAATTATGTTCATCTTTGTAAGAATGTGCCAAATTATCTTCCGAAGTGGCTGGACCATTTTGCATTCCTACTAGCAATGGATGAAAGCTTCTGTTGCTCCACATCCTTGCCAGCAGTTTGGTTTTCTCTCTCTCTCTCTTTTTTTTTTTTTTTTGAAAAAACTGCAATAAAACACACTTAGCAGAATTTACCATCATAACCACTTGTAAGTGTTTAGCGGTGCTTAAGTACACTGTCGTGCAACTAATCTCCAGAATTCTTGTCACTTGTCTTTTTTTAAATGTTTTTATTTTTATTTTTGAGAGAGAAGGAGACAGAGTATGAGCAGGGAGGGGCAGAGAGAGAGGAAAAAGGAATCCGAAGCAGCTCCAGGCTCTGCACTGCCAGCACGGGGCCCGACCTGGGGTTCGAACTCACAGACTGCAAGATCATGACCTGAGCTGAAGTCACACGCTTAGCCAGCTGAGCCACCCAGGTGCCCCAAAGAATTCTTTTCATTTTGTGAAACCAAAACTCTGTTCCCATTAAACAACACCTCCCCATTTCCCTCCCCAGCCCCTGGCACCCATCATCCAACTTTCTGTTTCTACGAATGACCACTCTAGGGACCTCAGATAAGAGCTTCTTCATACTGGGGCGCCTGGGTGGCTTAGTCGGTTAAGCGTCCGACTTTCACTTAGGTCATGATCTCGCGGTTCGTGGGTTCGAGCCCCGCGTCGGGCTCTGTGCTGACTGCCAGCTCGGAGCCTGGAGCCTGTTTCAGTCTGTGACTCCCTCAATCTCTGACCCTCCCCTGCTCACGCTCTCTCGCTCTCTCTCTCTCTCCTAAATTTTTTTTTTTTTTTTTATTTCTAGGAGAGAGATAGCGTGAGCAGGGGAGGGTCAGAGAGAGGGAGGGAGTCACAGACTGAAACAGGCTCCAGGCTCTGAGCTGGCAGTCAGCACAGAGCCCGACGCGGGGCTCGAACCCACGAACCGCGAGATCATGACCTAAGCGAAAGTCGAACGCTTAACCGACTAAGCCACCCAGGCGCCCCATCTCTCTCTCTCTCCTAGAAATAAATAAAACATTAAAAAAAAAAAAAGAGCTTCTTCATACAGCCTCCTTTTGTGATGGCTTATTTCACATAGTATAATGACTTCAACTTTCACCTATACTGTAGCATTTGTTAGAATTTCCTTCCTTTTGGGACACCTGGGTGGCTCGGTCGGTTAAGTGCCCGGCTTCGGCTCAGGTCATGATCTCAGTTTGTGGGTTTGAACCCTGCATTAGGCTCTGAGCTCACAGCCTGGAGCCTGGAGCCTGCTTTGGACTCTCTCTGTCCCTCCCCTGCTCGTGCTCTGTCTCTCCCTAAGAGAAATATTTAAAAAAATTTTAAAGCATTTCCTTCTTTTCTAAGGATAAACAACAAAGAATATTCCATTGATGGAGTCCTTTTTGTTTACTCATTCATTCGTCAGTGGACTCTCGGGTTCTTCCATTGCTGGCGATGGTGAGTAACGCTGCTCCGAGTCTAGGTGCGCAAATGCCTCTGAGACCCTGCTTTCGGGTCCTTTGGGTATATACCCAGGATTGGAATTTCAGGATCATATTTATGGTAATTCTGGTTTTTTGTGTGTGAAATTGACATGTCAGGGTTGTTTTCTATTTTAGCTGTTCAAACAGGAGTGTCAGCTGTATCTTGTTTTAATTTTGCCTTCTCTAACCACAAATTGTGCTGAGCATAATTTCATATCTTTGTCATCTGTGTCTCTTTGGTGACAAAGCGTGTTCAGATCTTTTGCCCATTTTGTACCAGGGTTGTTACATTCTCATTATTAGTTTTGAGAGTTCATATATTTTGGATGCAAGCCCTTTATCGGATGTGTGGTTTACAAATAGTTTCTCCAAGTCTGTGACTTGTCTTTTCATTTCCACAACAGTGTCCTTCACAGAGTAAAAGCTTTACATTTTAATCAAGACCAGCTCGATTTTTCCTTTTGTGGACTATGATTTTGGTGTCAGAGCTAAAAGCTGAAATCTGAAGCTGTGTACATTTCCTTCCATATCTCCTTTGAAAGTCTGACGCTTTTGCATTTTCCATTCAAGCCTGGGGGTTCAGACTTCAACACGTGGATTTTGAGGGGACACAATTCAGTCCATAAAATCGGTGTGGCTAAGGCTTTATCAAAGTTACTGAGGTTTTCAAAGAGCCAGC